ATCGACAGGTGTCCCGTGGTGTCCCGTGGTGTCCCAGTAAGTGAGATCGATAGTGAGACCGAAAGCGAGATCGATGTGGTGTCCCGAGGTGTCCCGTGGTGTCCCAAAGAGTGAGATTGATAAAAAGATCCTTACTGAGATCGACAGGTGTTTTGTGGTGTCCCGTGGTGTCCCGTTGAGTGAAATCGATAATGAAATCGATAATGAGATCGATAGTGAGATCGATGTGGTGTCCCGAGGTGTCCGGAGGTGTCCTATGGTGTCCTATGGTGTCCCGTTGAGTGACATCGATAGTGAGATCGATAGTAAGACAGATAGTGTGATCGAGAGGTGTCCCGCGGTGTCCCGTGGTGTCTCATGGTGGCCCGCGGTGTCCCGTGGTGTCCCGTTGAGTGAGATCGATAGTGAGATCGATAGTGAGATCGACAAATGTCCCGTGGTGGCCCGTGGTGTCCCGTGGTGTCCCCTGGTGTCCCGTTGAGTGAGATCGATAAGGAGATCGATTGAGTCAGATGTTGTTCTCCCCCCTCTCCCCCCCCCGCAACCTCCTTATCACCCGAAGGGTCGTCGTATAAGTACGAATTCGCCGGGCTTCATTTGAACATGATGTGCTGTGTGGCTAACAAGTGCTCTCACTGTGTTCATTGCGGTTGCCCGCACTGCACCCACCCCACCGAATTGGGCAAGCCGCGGATAGCATGGAATGTCTTCGGAAATATCCATAGACTTATACCTATACGACTACCCTTCGGGTGATAAGAAGCTTGTGGGGGGGAGGGGGAAGCACCAACATCTGACTCAATCGATCTCACGATCGATCTCACTCAACGGGACACCACGGGACACCACGGGACACTTGTCGATCTCACTATCGATCTCACTCAACGGGACACCACGGGACACCATGGGCCACCACGGGACACCGCGGGACACCTCTCGATCTCCCTATCGATCTCACTATCGATCTCACTCAACGGGACACCACGGGACACCACGGGACAACTCGGGACACCACATCGATCTCATCATCGATCTCACTATCGATCTCACGATCGATCTCACTCCACGGGACACCACGGGACACCACGGGACACCTGTCGATCTCACTATCGATCTCACTTACTGGGACACCACGGGACACCACGGGCCACCACGGGCCACTACGGGACACCAGTCGATCTCACCATCGATCTCACTTCTTGGGACACCACGGGACACCTCGGAGCACCACATAGATCTCAGTATCGATCTCACTGTCGATCTCACCATCGGTCTCACTCAACGGGACACCACGGGACACCTCTCGATCTCACTATCGATCCTACTTTTTGGGACACAATGGGACACCAAAGGACACCACGGGACACCTCGGGGCACAACATCGATCTTTATATGGAAATCAATATCGATCTCACTATCGTTCTCACTATCGATCTCACTCAACTGGACACCAAGGGACACCACGGGACACCGTTGGACACCGCGAGCCACCGCTGGACGGACGGACGGACGGGCGGGCGGGGGAGAATCATTTGTCTTGACTTCGCCCTAAGAAAGGCGGACACCACGGGACACCACGGGACACCGCGGACCCCCACCGAACGGGCGGGAGGGGGAGAATCAGTTGTCTTGATGTCGCCCTAACAACGGCGGGTTCATTCCTCTCGCGCGCCCACGCAACTTCGCCTCGCCCGCACGCACGACACGAACGAACCGAACGATTTCTCGGTTGGGGGTCTCCGTTCAACTGCGATCTCACCCCCCAACCTCCGATGCTTGACTCCACTGTCAGACTACCACCTGGTAGCTGTAACATCCGCCGTGTACGCAACATCTCTCACAACTGCATCAATCACACGTTGGCAATCCAAGCAAATAATCTGGGATTGGCATCAGGATCTGCAGCAAGGGGATGGCAGAGGAACATGATAATAGTATGTACGCTGATCTAGAAGCAACACCATCGTTAGCAACACCATTAGCATCACCAGCGGTAGCGGCGGCAGCAGGACCAGTACTAGGCGCCTGTAGTAGCTCGCAGGCGCTGTGATGCTCACAAGCACTGGTGTGCACAAGCACTGCGGTGCTTGAATGAGTTGTGGTGCTCACGAGCACTTTCATCCTGAATCCAGTGTAGCGCTCGCGCCGTAAGAACATTAATCCCACCAGCCCTTTAGGGCGTAAGGTGGTTTAGGGAGTCCTGCCAGCCCTTTTGGGCGTAGGTGGTTTAGGGTGTGTCCTCTTCTACACCCTTCTTCCCCTTCGGGGAGGGGTTTACCCCTCCCCCAACCTACCCCCTCCCCTGGACCTGGACGGGGCGTTCCGCGAGTCGCCGGAGCGTCCAAAACGGCCTCGGCGAGGACACCCAAATCATTGGTTTTACCATGGTTTTGGCCCAGTTTTGGCCTCTTGGGGGGCAGCGCTAATTAAGACCGCCCCTTTTTTGATCGATCTCCTCCGAGATGGCCCCACGAGCGCTCACAAGGCGCCAAAGGGCTCCCCAAGAGGGCCCCAAGAGGTGGCCAGGAGTCCCTAAGAGGCCCCCAAGAGGCGCACAGGATGCGCCCACGAGGCTCCCAAGAGACCCCGAAGAGGCCCCAAGAGGCCCCCCAGAGGAGGCACCCAATACACTCCAAGAGGCCTCAGCGACAATGCCACAAAATCGTGGATTTTACTAAAGCTGTGGCAAGATTTTGGCCTTCCGGGAGGGGGGGGGGCACTGCTTAAGATGACTCCAAGAGCGCCTGGGAGATCCCAAGATGACCTCCAAGATGGCTCATGATATCCCAAGGTTCCTCAAGATAGCTCCCACGATACTTCAAGAGGCCCCAAGACCGCTCAAAGACGGCTCCACTTGGCCAAAGAGCTCCCCCAGGAGGCCCCGAAGAAACCAACATCCTGCCAAAACCTTAGGCATATCAATGTTGTTGGCGTTCTCGCCTTTTCGCTTCCGATGGCCATCCGAGGCTTCAAGATGGCTCCAAAATGGCCCACTATGGCTCCAAGAGCGCTCCAAGGCGCCCAAAACCGCTTCAAGAGGGCCCCAAGAGGCGCCCATGAGGCCCCAGGATGCCCCAACAGGCGCCCAAGAGGCCTCCAAGAGGCTCCCACGAGGCCCCCAAGAGGCCCCAAGAAGCTCTCCGAGGCACCCAAGACGCTATAAGAGGCGCCTGGGACCGCCAAGAGGCCGCCAAGACGCTCCAAGAGGCCTCCACTGGGGAACCCTTCCTCTGTGTGCTGCCCACTTCCCTGATCCAGGCAATTCCTATTGGGCATCGTTTCTGGATGGGCTGGTGGGGTGACTCGAAGCGTCTAGAACTTCCTCTTCTTTCCCCCTTCTTCCCCTTCGGGGAGGGTTTAATCACTGCCCCCTGCCCCCTTCCCTAGACCTGGACGGGGGGTTCGCGAGCGGTCAGGGCGTCCAAAACGGCCTCGGCGAGGAAGCCAACATCGTTGGTGTTTAGAAGGTTTTGGCTCCATTTTGGCCTCTGGGGGGCAACCGTAATAAAGGAACTCCCCTTCTTTGATCGATGTGCTCCAAGATGGCCCCAAGGAGCGCCCAGGAGGCCCCAAGAGGCCCCAAGATGGCCCCAAGATGGCCCCAAGATGGCCCCCAAGATGGCCACCATGAGGCCCCCAAGGGGACCCCAAGCGGCCCGAAGAGACCCTCCCCCCGAGGCACCCAAGACGCCCAAGAGCTCCCAGGACCGCCAAGAGAACCGCAAGACGTCCCAAGAGGCAACGAAGAAGCGCCAAGACAATATCCCAAGAGGCTCCGGGGGGTATCCAAGAGACCTCTGGCCCTTTTGCTTGCCCTCCTCCTCCTGCTCTTCCCTCCTCCTCCTGCTCCTTCTCCTCCTCCTCCTCCTCCTCCTCCTCCTCCTCCTCCTCCTCCTCCTACTCATCCCTCCTTTTCCCCGCTCCCTCATCCATCCACCCAGCCTCCTACTTCTCCTCTTCCCTCCTTCGCACGGTTCGGCCGCCCCCCTCTGTGCTCTCGCACTTCCCTGACAAACCTCAACGCGCCTGGACATCGTTTGGGTGGGCTGGTGGGGATGCTTTTTTTGGTCAGCAAGCTGACGCGTAAAGCTGTCGCCGAGAGGGGGGTCCGGGGCACGGTCCTGCCTAATTAACTATACCGAGCCACGCGCGAGACGGCCGGGCCAGCACTCAGAAGCGGCTGCCGGGGCTGGTGGGGGTGCGCGGAGCGTCTGGAATTCCTGCTCGTCCACGCATGGCCCGCTTCCACAGCTGCTCGCACCAGCTGCCAGACGGCGGCCACCGCGCCCCCGCCCTGGGCATCGCTCGGACGTCCATGCCCTGTGTTTTTTCGGTTTCGAGCGTGTTTTTTTCGCCAAATGATCAAGGATGCTCCTCGATGGTCCTCGCCGAAGGAAAACTGCACACGTCCGAGCGATGCCAAGCGCCAGGAGGGGCGCTCTGCCACGCGGTCGGACCCGGGACGAGCCACACACCAGACCTCCCCAAGTGTGGCTCCCCGTCCCGCCGCGCCCCCCCGTCCCCGGAGCTTTCCGGCCGCACATCGCCACGAGAAGCCCCCAGAAAGCAGCCCAAGACAGCCCCAAGACAGCCCCAAGGAAGCATAGGGGCCCCAGAGAGCAGCCCAAGACGGCCCCAAGACTCCCCGAGCGCTCCTCGAAAGCCTTGGGTTTTGCATCTGTTCGCGAGGCCGCCCGTGACCTGCCCCTCCCCCCTGCTGCCCGCGCGCCCGCCCGCCCGCGAAGGCGCCCAGCTGGCGCCGCGAAGGGGCCCCCGGGGGTCCTGGGTCATCTCCTCCTGGAGGAGGAGGAGGAGGAGGAGGAGGAGGAGGAGGAGGAGGAGGAGGACGAGGAGGAGGAGGAGGAGGAGGAGGAGGGAGGAGGGAGGAGGAGGAGGAGGGGAGGGGAAGGAGGAGGAGGAGGAGGAGGAGGAGGAGGAGGAGGAGGAGGAGGAGGAGGAGGAGGAGGAGGAGGAGGAGGGGGAGGAGGGTCTCGGGGGTCCTGAGTCATCTCCTCCTGGAGGGCCTCGAGCTGCTGGGCCAGGGCGTCGTTCTCCGACTTGAGCTCGAACGCCTTCATCTGGTAGTCCTGGGGGGCGCGCGAGGAGAGGCCCGCGGGGCCCCCCGCGATGGACGCGGTCGCAGCGGCTCGCCCCGCCGACAGGACTCTCGTGGTAGAGAGCCTGCAGTGAGGCGGGGGAGGAGGGTGAGGAGGAGGGGGGAGGAGGCGGAGGGTAGGAGGGGGGAGGAGGCGGAGGGGGAGGGTGAGGAGGCGGAGGAGGGAGGAGGGGAGGAGGCGGAGGAGGGAGGCGGGTGAGACACCCCCAGAGTACTTACGAGCCGTGGCATTGCCCAGGACCAACAGATGGTTTCACTGCTTGAGAAATGTGGTCGGCCTCGCATGGGAAACAACGACTATGTGTAGCGCATATGTGGGCACGGGAAGCGGGAGGACGAGGGCTGGGGAGGGGGCCGGAAAGCGGTGGGCGGCCTGATCTGGCAGATAGTTGGTTTGCAGGGCCCGCGAGCTTGGGGGCCGTGTCCTGTGAGGGGCTGGGCGCGCTGAAGCCCCAGGCCAATATTTTCGGGGCAGACGAAACGGGGAGGTGGCAAAGGGCGGTTAGCGAATCAGTTCTACGCGGTTGATTTTCCCAGCGCCTCCCGGCTCGAGGAACGCGCCTGTCGGCGGGGCCGAAACCAGCTGCATGCAGAAATTCTCGGACCCGCCTCTTTCCCCCCCTTTCGTCCGACCCTGGGCTGGGTCCGCTGAAACCCAGGGCCAGCTACTGCAGTAGAGCAAGTACTCCTGTTTGCGAGTCGGGCCACTTTCTAAATCCCACGAGCCCTTGGGAGCGTAGGTGGTTTGGGGCGTTTCCTCTTCCAACCCCCTGCTTCCCCTTCAGGGAGGGGTTGAGCCTTTCAACTAACATTCCCATCCCCCTGGGACTGGACGGGGGGGGGGCGCGAGCGGTCAGACCGTCTAAGAAGGCCGTAGCGAGAAGGCCCAAATCCCTGATCCTTCTCAGGTGTTGGGCCAATGTTGGCCTCGTGTGGGGTGCGGCTCTAATCAAGGACCCCCGCTCCTTTGATAAACAGCCTCCCAGATGACGCCAATGCGGCCCGAAAAGCTTCCAGGAGAGCAAGAGGCCTGGAACAAGCCCCAAGAGGCCCCCCACAGGCACTCAAGACGCTCCAAGAGCCCCGGGAATATGCCGAAAAATGCTTCTTAGAGGCCCCCACGAGGAGACATCCAAGGGGCCTCTGGCGATACCTCCAAATGAACGACAAAAAACGAGTCTTACGCGAATGGCTTACGCGGGCAGCCGGCGCACCACGCCTGGAAGCGAGGGAACTTACGCGCGACCTTACACGGGAAGCTGACACGCACATGTCAGCGCAGTCGGACCCGTTGTTGTTTGTCGCTCAAATGATGCCACGCTCTCCCAGTTCAGAGCTCCACTGGTCTGCTGGGGATACTCGGAGCGCTCAGAATTTGAGATGAGTATTGTTGCCGGTTCTTCGACGCTCGCGTTGCCCTGTCATTTCCAAAACACCTCCCCCTGGCCAGCGACGGGGTGGGGTAAGAGACAGAAGGCAGCGTGTCGAGCGAGGGGGAGGGAGAGAGAGGCGGACAGCAAGAGCTGGTCAGTGTTCGCACAGGGTAACAGAAGAGAGACGGGGTGTGTGAGCTCCCGCATCTGAGACGCCATCTCACTGGCCTTCTTCTTTTCCTCCTCAACTCGCCTGCGGGATCGGCGGGGCCGTCTCTGCTCCTCTGGCGCCAACCTAGCTTGACACTGCAAGTACAACACAAGCGTTACATGCTGCACTGCTACACCATTCGACGACGTGTAACGGTTGCACAAACAATATGAACGCGGCTACAACTACTACTGTTACTACTACTACGGGGTTCGCACCTCATTTGCATGTTCAATGATACTGGTAAGGGGTAATGTTTCGAGTTCGGACTCGGCGCATTGTGCGACTACTACGACTAATACTACTACTACTACTACCACTACTACTACTACAGGGATGACCTCGTGGATGCTACGGATACGATAAAACAACGCGCCAGGAATACTACTACTACTACTACTACTGCTACTACTACTACTACTACTACTACTACTACGACTACTACTACTACTACTACTGCTACTACTACTACTACTACTACTACTACTACTACAACTACTACTACTACTACTACTACTACTACTACTACTACTACTACTACGACTACGACTACGACTACTACGACTACTACGACTACTACTACTACTACAACTGCTACTACTACTACTACTACTACTACTACTACGACTACGACGACTACTACTACTACTACTACTACTACTACGACTACGACTACGAATACGAATACGACTACTACTACTACTAGTACTACTACTACTACTACTACTACTACTACGACATAAGGCTACAGGAATACACACCGGAATGCGATAAACACGCGGCACGAATACACCAACTTCACGAATCCATCGGGAATTCTTAAGGAAACCATTCTCGAAAGCAATGATGCGACAGGAGTGCTACAGAAACGCTCCAGTGATACATAAATGGATGCCTCGATGCCACTATAAGAATACTTACAAATATACTATACAGTGCAACTAGAGCGCTACATACATATTGCGTAGATAGAACGACACAACAATGAGGTGCGAACTTATCATTACGACTTACCCACCGTATCTGGTCGACATACAGCCCATCTACACAGATTAGACGACGGCAAAATGGGAAACTTGCAGTTGTCCTGCGGATTTGCCAGGAACTCTCCAGATGCATCAACTTTCTTGGGGTGGGGGTCATGTAGGATGTATACAGAATTATCAGATTGTCCAAACCGGGGATCACGAGGATTCCTGCGGAATCCTGACTTCAAAAACCCTGAAGACACCCGAGTAAATCTGCAGAGCACTGAGGGATCCTGGGAAAACCGGAGGCATTGAAGAGCCCGAACGAATCTGCAGGAATCTAGAAGAATCATGACGGACCCTGAGGAATGCGACGGAATCCTGAGGACCCCTGCAGGGTCCTGGGAAACCTTCGGGAACCCAGATGGACCCTGAGGAATCCTGTATAGGTCCGAAGATCGCTGGAGAATCCTTGGGGATCCCGAGAAATCCTGGGGAAACCCGAAGACTCCTAGTTGGTCCTGAGGGTCGTGAGGGCCTGAGGAACCCTGAGCAGCCCAGAAGAAACCTGCAGAACCACGGGGAAGCTTGCGGAATCTTGAGAAGCCCAAGAAAAACTCGGAGGAACCCTGTTGAAGTCTGTGGAATCCGGATGAAACCTGATGAGCCTCGAGCGATCTTGGAGTATCCTGTGAAATCTGGAGGGACCCAACGGAACCTTGAAAAACACTCTACTCTGCTGAGCTGAAACGTGAGGAATACCGAGAACCCTGTGGACTGCTGCGGAATTCTGAAGGGTAGTGAGGAATCCTGAGAGACCTGGGAGAATCCTGAATAATCGGAAGGGATACTGCGGAATCTTAAACAAAAAACTGAGGTGTCCAGGTGAATCATGAAGAGTCCTGGGAGACACTGAAAAAAAAACGCAGAACCCTGGGGAATCCTGCAGAGTCCTGAGGGGTCCAGATTGGTCTTGCAGCTGGAGTAATTTGAAATGGTCTTGCGGAATCCTGAACTGCCACACAGAATCCGGAGGAATCTTCCACAATCGTTGGGATGTTGGGAAATTCCGAAGGAAGCTTCAGGAGTCCCGTGGAATTCTCAGGAACCCTGCGGGACCCTAAAGGAATCGTGAGACATCTTGAAGGAACCCTGAGACATCCTGAAGGAATCCTGAAGGAATCCTGAGGACCTTGGAGGTGCCCTCACGAAACCCGCAGAACCTTGAGGCATCCTGAACAATCCTAAGGTCTTGAGGAGTCAGAAGGATCTCCAAGGAATCTCGGTGCAATTCCACGCACTTCGTGACAAGCGGGTAGCATTATCGATTGAAGCAAAAACAGAATACCACGAAACTGAGGTGTCAAACTGCGTTGTTCCCGCCTTCGTTTGCAAGACTCCAGCACTGACGCCAATTACTTCCAAACACAACGGTGGGGTGCGGGGGCAACAGAAAGCCCACGTGTTGCCATACTGCAACTACCACTGGCACTACTACTGCTACCCCGGATTCTCAACGGTTCTTACTATACAGCAGAACCATACACAGGCGAGTTCGCATTTCATTGTCACAAATTCTGGATATCGTGACACAGATACTTCTACGTCCACTGGTGCTGCTGCAAGAAACTACTCATGCTGCGACTCCTTCCCAGACCGCTGCGACTCCTTCTACTGATTGCAGCTACGACTCGTACGGAAACCATGCTCGCTCACGACAACTGCGACAGGGACTGCGACTACGATGATGCGGAATGCTGCTGCGACAACTACCACGATTACCGCAACGACGCCAACGCCCACGACTGCTAGTTCTACTGTTACTGCGACCGTGACATAGACTGCAGCTCGTGCCACATGCACTACTGCTACGTACGTTGCTGCTGGTCCAATCCCAGCCTTGACACACCCTGCGACCCTCCACTGCCCAGAACATCAGAACCTCAGAGCTTGCATACCCTCTACATCGGCGGTCCTACATCCAAACTGCCGCCCAACCAATCCATTAGATAGGCGGTCGAACAGTAAAACCACGAACGATCCATTACCTCCACGCCAGCGGCGGCGACAACCGGCCATGTAGGCGGTGTATGGTCCGAATACGGTGGATATGGAACCGATCGGCAAACAACACATCACAACCAGCTGTCGAACCGTCCAACCTCGAGCCTAGCAAACAAGGGCAATCATGATGCGAATGCAACCGTCCACTACTTGAGCGTCGTGCGCACGCGCGCGCGTTTCGAGCGTGCTGCAGTTCTAGTGATATTGGGAACTGACATCAAGCGCGGACAAAAGGGTTTGCCCGAATATGCAATCACCGCCGTGCGCGCGCGTTCGTAGCCCAAGGTGCGATTAGAGGCGTGGGCTGGAGAGAGGGGGCGGCAGCCAATGCACTACTCGACGCGGAGATCCTCGCATGAGCATACAGTGGAGGCCCGACCACAAGAAACCTTCCACAAGAAACCCAACCCTGAGACCCCAGGACGTCCATCGATTTGTGGTGTGGGAACGTCGCGCTTCCCATTGCAAAACTATCGAAACCCAAGAAACCCAGGGCACCCCGGAGACAAGCAGGGTGTTTCTTGGCATGGGTCTCCACTGTATCATCTCGCGGCACGTCCTGCTGTGCGTGTATGGCCGTGGGCGCCTGGGTACGAGAGCGAGTCCAGGGGGACGACTGGCCGCCAACGGGCGAGGGTCGTGCCCCATTGGCGGTGCCCGACTGGCGTGCCGAAGCCGGCGCCTCGCTCGAGGCACCCTCGCAGCTTGCTCTGAAGACAAAGGAGCCCGAGGCACCTAAGTAGGGAAAAAACAAACCTACCTCGCTTTTGACCACCCTCGCTTCCAAGAGATACCAAACGATGCCAAACTGCAGCCTGTACTGGTCAGGCCGCTTGACGAGGAGGCGCGTGGTATGACTTGGTTTTGCCTGGAAGCGAAAGCGGGGTAGGAAATTCACGCTCTGACTAAGAGGCTGACCGCCCGAGACATCCCCATGGTCTGGCCGCGAGCGGGCCGCTGGCGGCTTCCCCGTTGGGGTGCCGGAGCCAACGCCCTGCATCCTCACGATGTGCGCTGACGGCAGAGGGCTCTGGGCCCCCCAACCGATAAGACCGCCTGAGGCATCCCCGCAATCTGGGCGCGGAGGGGCCTGTGAAAACACCCTGGCGGCTGCCCCCCACGCGGTCGCGCCGACTGAGGCCGTGCGAGGGGTGTGCCGAAATGAGCGGGGACCCCCCATGCGGTCGCGCACGCTCAGGCCGTGGGTGGACCTCCCTGCGAAGCCGCGAAACGTGTGAGGGGTGTGCCGGCAGAAAACAGGAGGCCCCCCATCCGGTCGCGCCCACTGGTATCGTACGTAGGTAGAGTTCTCTAAGGAACCACGAAGCGTGTGAAAAGTGTACCGAAATTCACGGGGACACCCCATGCGGTCGCGCACACTCAGACCGTCGGAAGAGCTCCCTGTGAGGCCGCGAAACGTGAGGGGTGTGCCCCGAGAGAGGACCCCCCCCATGCGGTCGCGCCCACTGAGACTGCAGGTGGAGCTCCGCTCCCTATGGGATCACGAAGCGTGTGATGGCATCGGAGATCAGACTGATGGACTGATGATGGTGATGATGACGTTGTTCACACTGATGGCAATGATGGGGCGGCTGCTGATGATGGTGATGATGATGACGATGATGGTGGTGATGATGATGATGATGAGTATGGTGCTGCTGATGATTGGGATGATGGTGATCATGATGATGAGAATGATGATGATGATTCTCCCGCTCGCGCGCTCGCGAGCTGTCTCCGAGCGCGGCCGCGGCTCGCGCGCGCGGGGCGGCCCAAAATGGGCAGGCCCGCCCCGCGCGCTCGTGCCGGGGCGCCGCGCGTCAGGCGGGGGAGACCGCCTGCTCGCCGACGACGGCGAGGCAGCGCCCATCAGCCTTAGATTGGGAGAGGAGGGAGGGGGGCAGAGAAGCTGCGGAGACAGCAGGAGCTTGCTCACAGAGAATAGAAGAGGCATTCTCCCGCTCGCGCGCTAGCGAGCTGTCTCCGAGCGCGGCCGCGGCTCGCGCGCGC